GTCTCTCTGCTGCCTAGAACAGTTCTTGGCATATAAGAGACACGGTGAATATCTTTCAAATGAATATTATTTGGTATCCGTTTTGCTCTTTGAAGCCCTGATGAATCTTGGTTTCCAGTTTCCTTTCTTCCAGCAACTTCCCCCCCTGGAAATGGAACTTTCACTTTCTCCTCAGGAAAGATGACTGAGCATCCGCTGATTGACAGGGGCGAGCCTGCAGCAGCCTGGGAACGCCAGATAAGTGGAGGGGTGACGCGCTTTCCGCACGTGGCAGGATGCAATTACAACCTGCGCGGATGGAGCAGCAACTTTTAATTATGCAAATGCAGCTTGCTTGTGAGTTTTTAATTCCGGGCAAATCCCCAACTTTGTCCTCTTCTCCAAAATATTCCTGGGCACCTTTCTCACTGCCTCCTCTTGGGCTTAGGAAAAGCAATTACTTTTAATATCAGCTTGTGGACAATCTGATTAGAAGGACAATCAAGCAAAATAAAAATAAGCCAGCTCCCCACACCTCCTGAAATTAGTATCTTAAAATCAGGTAAGAATGGGACTCGCACGGCTAGCGAAATGGATGCTGATGCAAGTGTAAGTGCCCTCCTCTCCCCATCACAGCAAGCAGCCCTCCTCAGGAGGAGTCCCGCAGGCTTGGAGGGCGCACCTGGGCTTTGCTTAGAGGTGGGGGGAGCACAGTGGAGAGTAGGAGGGTCAGGCAGCTCTTTTTTTGTAAAAGGGTTGTATCTGCCCTGCTGGTGTGGCTCAGTGGTTGAGCACCAACCTATGAACCAGGAAGTCACAGTTCGATTCCCAGTCAGGGCACATGCCTGGGTTGCGGATTGATCCCCAGTGTGGGGCGTGCAGGAGGCAGCCGATCAATGATTCTCTCTCATCATTGATGTTTCTATCTCTCTCTCTCTCTCTCTCTCTCTCTCCCTTCCTCTCTGAAATCAATAAAAAATTATATATTTTTATTTATTTATTTTATTTTATTTTTTAGAGCCCAAGTTTTTAATCTGTGTATCCTCCATTCTGCCTCTCACATTCCAACTACCATCAACACACACCCTTAAGAACCAATCAGGCATTTAAAGGCCTTTATAGAACATGAAGTCCCTGGGAGCAGAAACCTTGTCTATCTTGTTTAAAAAATTATATATTTTTAAAAATGTTGTACTTAAAACCCTAGAGACCCCCCAAGCAATGGTGTGCTGACCAACCAGCGTGCCAGGAAAACAGCCCTGAAGCTTCACGTTGGCTATTCCTGTGGTGCAGACACCACCTCCACGGCTGACTGCAGGCCCTAAGGTGGCAGCACTGAGCACACAGCTGGAAAGAGACGTGGATGGGGGGCTTTCCCAGAGGGGACCAGAGGCTCCGGTACCCACCACCCACACGTCACTTCATGTCACTTCCATGGGTGAGGCTGTGTTTTCCCCCACAAGACCCGGCCTCGGCCACCCTCACCCCCACGCTGCCCAGATGCACCGGCTGAAAGGTTTCCTCTCCCTGGGCCGGCCCCTGCGCTGTCTGCACAGGGAACCCCGCACTCTCCTGGCCTGGCCTCTGCTGCCCCACACTGTCAACAAGATGACTTTGGCTCTACTTCAGGAACAGAAAGCCCCAGGCTGCCCAGCAAGCATTGTTTAAAGCTACATTTCCAGGCGTGTCAGCTGATTGGAGGGGGGGGGGGGCACAGGGAGCTCTTTTTTTTGCTAATTTGGTTGGAACCCACAGGGAATGGCACAGCCATTTAAAGCCACCCCCTCCCCCGCTGCTGTCCCTACACAGATTTCTCCCGTGAATGTATTTAATAAGCATCCAGGGCCGAGTCTTCAGGGGGTGTCAGAAAGCGTGGAGGCCTTTCCGTGGTTTGCACCAGGTGGAGGAGGGAAGCTGCCACATGAGGTGCTGGGGGTTCGTGAGTCCTGCGAGGACAGGCAGCCCCGCCCATTGCCCACCCTGTAGCGTGGTCAGAAATTGCTGGGCAGCCGACGCCCCTTTTCTGGATCCTCAGGAAGCCGAGGTCCAGAGCCCTTTGAGGGGTTGACAAAGGCAAACAAATAGGTGGATCTCCCTAGAACAGTCTGCGAGGGGAATATCCCTGGGTTATTCCGAGGAAGGTGATCCTGGCAGCCCACAGCGGGGGAGCCCAGCGAGGAGAAGGGCGCTCCTGGCTGGGGAGGAAACTGAAGCAGACGGGAGCCCCCTGAGGACCAGATGCTTCTATGTCAGATCTGAGTCTGAGTCTGCGCTCTGCACTGGGTAGCATGTTGCTTCACCAACTTGAGTACGGTTTCCTGTGAGAATAAGTGAGTAAGGCGAGGAGAGGTTTTCTAGATCCCTTTCTGGAATTCCCAGAGCAAAGGACAGACGGAACCCTGCAGCAGCCGGGACAGTTCAGGGTTCACCGGCCGCCGGCCAGGCTCTGTGGCCGGTTCATAGCCTCCAAAGCACAAGGGTGTGAAAATGGATTATTCTCTCTCTGATGCCCCAAGGTCAACTCCAAGCACTGGGGGGAAATGTTCTCATCTTTGTGTCCCTTCGCTTTCCCCCCAACCAGGGACCACGATGGAAAGGCAACTTCCAGTAGCTGAGAGAGCTAAGACATTGTCACCCCTAACCTCCCCGCCCCCTGCAGGCACTTTTCAGTTTATAAGGCAGGACCTCCAGGGGATACCCAGAGCATATTTTGGGCAATACCTTTTCTTTTCTTTTTACCTTTCCTTTTCTTTCTTTTAAAAAATATATTTTTATTGATTTCAGAGAGGAAGGGAGAAGGAGAGAGAGAGAAACATCAATGATGAGAGAGAATCATTGATTGACTGCCTCCTGCACACCCCACACTGGTGATCGAGCCCACAACCTGGGCATGTGCCCTTGACCAGAATAGAACCTGGGACCTTTCAGTCCACAGGCCAATGCTCTATCCACTGAGCCAAACCGACTAGGGCCGTGGTCGGCAAACCACGGCTCTCGAGCCACAGGCGGCTCGTTGGCCCCTTGAGTGTGGCTCTTCCACAAAATACCACGTGCGGGTGTGCACGTACAATGTGATTGAAACTTCGTGGCTCATGCGCAGAAGTCAGTATTTTGTGGAAGAGCCACACTCAAGGGGCCAAAGAGCCGCCTGTGGCTCGCGAGCCGCGGTTTGCCGAACCGCAGTTTGCCGACCACTGGGCTAGGGCAGTAGGCAATACATTTTCAATGAACACTTAAATCAGTAAATTATTTTTTCCTTTCCATAAAGTTTGTTTTTTGAAAAAGCATTATAGGAGAGTTAGGAAAACACAGTAATGTTTAAAGAAGAAAATGTTAATTACACTGGCAAACTCTAAAAACACCACCGTTAACATTTTCTTCCCAGGCACTTTAGAAAAACACAGGTTGGATCATAATGTGCACATAATTTATCTTCTGCTTTTGAAGTCCAGGAACACCCTCAGCATTTGAACTCCTGTTACTAAAAAACCTCGTCTAAAATAGTTTAATGGGCCGAAAACCATTCTGCTTTATAGCTGGATGACAATTTGCCAGACATTGTTGGTCATCTTGCCGTAGGCAGTTAGACAGACATGAGCAGAGCAAGACATGGGCCAGGTACAGCAGGTCCCCAAGATGGACAGCCCCAGGTGCCTAGCAATGGACAGTTACTAGTGTAGGGTGGGACCTCCCCCAGGGTGACTTCTCCTCTCCCAGCATATGGCTGGTCAGGAGGTTTGGACCCCCCTGACCTGTCCTCCCTGAGGCAACATCTAGGCCTCAGTTGTATTTCAGCTCCAGGCCCAGATAAGCAACAAAACCAGCCACTGCTGATCCAGCTGCCTGGAATAATGACCCCCTGCCCTGGTGCCAGCCAACCCATCAGTGGAGACCACAATCCTGAAGGGACACGGAAAGCTGCTGAATATTCTATTGAGAACGTCCCCTGGGACCACCCCTAAAATCTCCGCCCTTAAAACCCTTAGGATGGAGGGCCCAGGTGCACACTCCCTCCTGGGAGCTCCCCCCCTGACTCTCCCCCCCCCCCCCCCCCCGCAGGGTACCATTAACTTCCTCCCTCCCAAGTTCCAAGGGCCCTTCCTTTACCTCCATAAAGCATTTCCTAAACCCCTTTTTTCTAGGAAATACTTCTACCTCTGGAATTCCCCCCATAAATGGTCCCTTAAAGTTTGGGGCTAGGTCTGAGTTCTTTCCTAGCCCCAACCCAAGGACCGAGGGTGGTGAACCCAGGGTTGGGCAGGGACCTGGGGCCGGTTCCCCCCCCTAAAGCATTCTGGGTGGTTCGGAATGGTATTGGACTATTATATATAA